TCCCTTGAGTTGCTGCCATCGAAGCGGCGATGTATTCTGCTTCGCAGGAAGACAAAGCAACTACCTTCTGTTTTGTTGATTGCCAGCAGATCGCGCCGCCTGAGAGAAAGTAGATCATTCCGCTGGTGCTCTTACGATCATCAACGTCACCGGCCATGTCACTATCGCTGTAGCCGACCAGTTTGAGTTTCTCCTTTTCGCTCCCAGCGCAGTATCTTACGCCCCAGTCTCTGGTTCCGGCTACATAGCGCAGGATGCGCTTGACAGCCACTAGATGCTCCTCCCTAGGTGCTTCCATAAACCTGCTCACATATCCAACAGAATAAGCAAGATCAGGACGAGAGTTTACCAGATAGCGCAGACTCCCGTCAATGCTGCGGTAATTGGTGGAGTCGACTGTCGTCGTAGTGCCGGCCTTCCTTAGTTGAAGTCGGGCCTCCATTGGCGTCCTGGTAGGATTACTGTCCACAAGCCCAGTTGTGTCCAGCAGCTTTCTCGCGTATGCACTTTGGCAGATGGAGATGCCGGAAGAGTTCTGTTGCACTTCGATGCCGAGGTAGTAGCTGAGCACACCGAGATCGCTCATCTCGAAGTTTTTCGACATCTCCTTCTTGAACCTTCCGAGGACTCCCACGTCGCCTCCCATGATTATGAGGTCGTCGACGTACACTCCCACGATCAGTCGCTTTTTGCCGTGGCCGTACGTGTACATGCCATGCTCAGAGGCACAACGTTTGAAATTCAGTGACAGTAGGGTACTGTCGAGCTTCGCGTTCCAGGCTCGTGGGGCTTGTCGAAGCCCGTAGAGTGCTTTGTGCAGGCGCAGTACCTTATTAGGGTTGTCGTTATCCAGGAAGCCAGGTGGTTGTCGAACATAGACGGTCTCCTTCAACTCTCCGTTAAGGAAAGCAGACTTTACGTCCATATGGTGAACCTCCCAAGAGTGATGTGCTGCAATTGCCAGCAGGAAACGAACGGATTCTAACCTTGCTACTGGCGCAAATACCTCTTCGAAATCCACTCCTTGCTTCTGGACGTAGCCCTTCGCCACCAGACGAGCCTTGTGCTTCACAACTTCTCCTTTTTCGTTGCGCTTCAGTTTGAAGACCCATTTGAGCCCTATGGCTCGGTGTCCCGGTGGCATATCCTCCAGACTCCACGTCTGGTTCTCAGTGATGGATGTCATCTCCTCCTGCATTGCCTTCCGCCAGCACGGGTTCTTTTCTGCTTCGGCGAAGGTGTTTGGTTCATCTGCACTGACGGCATGTAGTTCGGCCACTTCCTCGAGCTCGCGCGCTGCTAGTCCAGGTGGTTCACCTCCTCCCACTAGGTCATCCATCCTCCGGTACCTAGCCTCCAGATCAGTATCGTGATCGGCATCCAGCGTCGAATCCGCAGTCCGTGGTGTTGCGAATTCCACTGGTTCAGGTGGTGCACCTGCTGGCGACGGTGACGTCTCCTGATGCTGGGCTCCTCCTTCTTCAGGCTCGGTGACGAGGTACTCCACCGTGAATTGATTTGGATTACGGTCTGCCTCGATCACGTCATTCCACTGCCAGAAGGTGCTTTCGTCGAAGACGACGTCGCGAGACACGTGAGCTCGCCCCCCTACAGGATCATAGAGTCTGTACGCCTTGCTCCCGGGTTCGTAGCCGATGAAGACAACCTTCAGCCCCCTGGGATCGAGCTTGGCGAGATGGGGACGTGTTACCTTCATGTATGCGACGCAGCCGAACACGCGAAAATGATGTACTGTTGGTTTTTTGTTGTACCAGGCTTCATATGGCGTCTTCCCGTCGAGGCTTCGGGTTGGTGACCGATTGAGGAGATAGACAGCCGTCATTACTGCCTCTCCCCAGAATCTCCCAGGCATCCCGGCCGTCACCAACAATGACCTCGCTGTCCCGACAATGGTCTGATTTCGGCGCTCTACCACTCCGTTCTGTTGGGGGGAGTAGGGCGCCGTTAGGTGCCGTTGTATGCCGATCTCGTCGCAGTACTTACTGAAACTTGCCGAGGTGAATTCTCCACCTCGGTCTGTGCGCAGCACTCGCATCTTCTTCTCACATTCGGCCTCCGCTCGCGCTTTAATGCGCTTAACCGCCTCTGCCGCCTCACTTTTCGCTTGCAGCAAAGTCAGCCACATGAAGCGGCTTTTGTCATCGACTAACAGGAGGAAGAGACTCTTACCGCCTGGGGTCGCCGGCTTGATGGGCCCGCAAATATCGCCGTGTACAAGCTCCAATGGCTCATAGGCTCGGTAGGCTGTTCGAGACGGAAAGGGTGTGCGCCTCTGTTTGCCGATGAGGCACCCGTCGCACAGCTTGTTCACGCCTTTGATTTCTGGCAAGCCGTGCACCAACTCCTTCTTCTGTAGCTTTTCTAGGGCAGGAAAGTTTAAGTGTCCGTACCTTGCGTGCCACCTCCAAGATACCTCTTCGGTCTTGGCCGAGAGGCTAACAGGTTGGTCTATCTCTAACTCCAGGATGTAAAGACGGTTTGTGGTTCGCCTTGCCTGCGTGAGCAGCCGTCGTTGATTATCGCAGATTTTCAGTAGTCCGCGCTCGATGGAAATGAAGCAGCCTGTCTCATCGAGCTGACCCAGGCTCACAAGGTTAGCCTTGAGCCTCGGGATGAAGTAGACGTCGGTCAGCTTGTGATGCTCGCCTCCCTTACTGACGAACAGGATGGTGCCGCGCCCTTCGATCTCGACGACGGAGCCGTCGCCGAATTTCACCGTCCCACGGATCCCCGAGTCGAGCTCGGAGAACGCAGANCGCGAGACACGTGAGCTCGCCCCCCCACAGGATCATAGAGTCTGTACGCCTTGCTCCCGGGTTCGTAACCGATGAAGACGACCTTCAGCCCCCTGGGATCGAGCTTGGCGAGATGGGGACGTGTTACCTTCATGTATGCGACGCAGCCGAACACGCGAAAATGATGTACTGTTGGTTTTTTGTTGTACCAGGCTTCATAT